CTTGGGGATGGGGCAAGTCCGTGATGGTATGTTTCTGGTATCACACGAACTGCAGCATCTCTCCTTTTCTGCTCTGCAGGTGGCTCCCCTGTGGGAATTTCCCAAATCAAAGGAGGTGCTTTTGGGAATAAGATAATTGAAGACTCCATGGGTGTATATGGGGCACCTGAGGCATGTGTTTACTATCCAAACTATGACTTAAAGTGGTGCCTCAATTGAAACATAGCAGAAATGGATGGGCCCAGTCTTCTCTTCTTTCCCCCTTCTTCCCAAGCAAGCAGGATGCCAGAGAAGTTGACGTATGTCCCATAATTTGGGGTCAGACAGAGTTTCCTATATTAGATACTGGTCCGGGTTTCCACTGACTTGCTCCTAATCTGTGAGCAACTCTTTTCTGCTCTGTGGGCCTCAGTTTGTGTATCTGTAGAATGGGGAGGGTAGGTTGAACTAGATCCTTGCAGCTCGAAGTGTGGCCCCCCAACCAGCAGCAGCGGCCTCACCTGGGAATGTGTTAGAAATGCAGAATCAGGCCCTACTCCAGACCTGCCGAATCAGAATCTGAATTTTAACAAGTTCCTCAGGTGATTGATGTGCACATTGAAGTGCTGGCTGGAATAGCCGTCACATTCCTATCAGCGTCTGCATCCCGTGGGCCTGAGACCAAATTGCAAGTTGCTTTGTCTTTAGGAATGAGAAGCATAGTTTTTTTGTTTTGGCTTAAACAAGAGAAATTTATTCTCTTACAGGTCTGGGGACTTGAAGTCCAAAATCGAGTTGTCAGCTGGGCCATGCTCTCTCTGGAGACTCTTAGGAAGGACTCTTCCTTGCCTCTTCTAGTTTCTAGAAGCTCCTGGAAACTCTTGACATTCCTTGGCTTGTAGCTACATCCCTCCAGTCATTGCCCCCGTCAGCACATGACCTTGCTCTGTGTGTCTCTGTTAGAAGCCCAGTTTTTGGAGAAGAGACCACGTTCTGGAATGCCCCTGGGGTTTTTGGTTTTTGCAACAATGAGAGAGGTCTGGGCAGGTGTGTTTTCAAAGGGAAGATGTAGCCCAGGCCAGAAGTATGTTTCATGGAGAACCTTGGGAGATGCTCTGATTTACAGAGGAAGAGGTTCTTCTAAGCGCTGCTCTTGGAGAAGGCGGGTGGGGCCCCTGTCCCTGGGGTCCCTGGCACAGCAGTCCCACACTTCCTGTTAAGGAGACTGTGCTAATGGCAGCCCCTCTGAGAAAGGACTGGTGGGGGATGGAACTCAGGGGTGTGGGGCCTCCCCAGGAAGACAGCAGCTTCCCATGTGCAGTACAATTGCCGTGTGCTCATTTCTCTGTCCTCTCGCCAGTAAGACACTCGAGAGGCAGAATTCACATCTGATTTCCCCCTGTACCTCCCACAGGACCTAATCCAGGGACCAGGGATATATGAGCTGACATTTTTTGAGCTAGCATACCTCGGGGGACCCTCACAACAATCACTCCTGGTTATGAGTAGTAGTATTAGTCCCATTTTAACGACGAGAAGACTAAGGCAAAGAGAGGTTGAATGACCTGCCTACGGTTACCCAGCAGGTCAGAGCCAGAGTTAGAACTCAAACCCAGGTTTTCAGATCCCATCTCCCAGACTCTTCCCTTATGCCACTGAGTGGCCTTGATATCAGCCACTCCCAGCGCCCGAGCACCGACCGTGTGTCAGGCACGGTGTATTGATTCTCAAAATGACCCTGGCACTTAGGGTGCGTCGTTCCAGTTTTATAAATTAAAAAGGGTCAGACGATTTTTCCAATGTGAGCTGTGCGGCTGGGACTTAAGACTCTGGAGTCTGTGCTCCTGGCCACCACACTGTCCTGCTGTCGCTGAGCTGGGCCTTGCCTGTGTTTAGCCTGAAGTGGGAATCACCTTCCTGCAGGTCTGCCAGGGAGAGAGATGGCTGTCCCTCTGCTCTGTCATCCCAAGAAAGAGCTTCCGGATCATCCTTCCAGTCTCATCTCACCTCCTGCCTCACCATTTAAACTGACCCTTTCTCCTTCCTCCTTCCCCTTTTCTCCAGATGATCCCTAAAGAAAATCGCAGCTTCTGCAGCCTCTCCAGGCAGCGGGAACCCTCTCCCCACCTGCGGGGGGCGCCATGGGGCTGCTGCTCTGGGGCTTCTCTGGAGGCTCTTGTAACACTCTGCGTCTCTCCCCCATCTCACTCTGCAGGTGGCAGCTCTGGACTCCAGGGCAGCTGTGGCTGGGGCCACCTGAAGGGACAGCTGAGACCCAGGCGCCTGGGAGTGACGGCAGTGACGAAGAACAGACGCCAGCAGACATCGCCTCCCGTCCTGCCTGTGCTCCTGTGTCTCCTCGGCCCTGCCACCTGAAGGGACAGCTGAGACCCAGGCGCCTGGGAGTGACGGCAGTGACGAAGAACAGATGCCAGCAGACATCGCCTCCCGTCCTGCCTGTGCTCCTGTGTCTCCTCGGCCCTGTGAGGCTGGGCATGCGTGGGACCGAGCAGCTGGACCGGGGCGCACCAGGCTTCTGGAAAATGTTCACTTGCTGTTGTGAAGACTGGTGGAGCGTCCCCAAGGGCTGGCCTTGGGAAAAGCGTGTCTGCATCTCTTCCACACAGACTCTGCCGAAGACGAGTTCACTGCACCCTTTAAGGCACAAGCCGGCTCAGGCCACCAAGGCCGATCTCTGAGCGTCCCCTGCCCCAGCCAGGGCATGCTCAGCCAGCCTCCAGCCACGCTTCCTGCGGAGTCCAGCGTCGTTAGCCACGTGCGCTCTTCTGAGGCCCGCAGCCGCGGGGAGCTGCTTCCACACCAGCTGCCAGCCCAGAAGCCCAATCCCAATTCCTGTTGCCAGAGAGCTTTTAGTGGCCAGTGGAGGAAGTTGTCCTTCCTTGGTGAAGAATTCCCAAGTGAAATTTGGGAGCCTTTCCGGATTCACTTCAACAGCATGTGTCTTGGTGTGTCTGTACTTAGGCGCCGGAAGCCACTCACGGGCAAGGAAGCACAGACGACCCTTACTCGGCCATGTGTGGGCCGCCTCTGCGGGCAGGGGCTTGTCTCTGCCTCCTCTGGCTCAGACAGCTGACTCTGTGACATAGCAGAAGGTCTCACTCATGCTAGGAAAAAGGGGTTTCTGCAATATTTCCTCCGAGTGGAAGGGAAATTGTTTTACATCCATCCAGAAAGTGATTTTTTTTTTTTTGGTCTTTGAAATAACCTGTGATATAATCAGAATATATCAGAGCTTCAATGTCCATGTCACCAACCTTCCCACTCTGTACATGGGAAGTCTGGGGCCCAAGGAAGGAAATGTCCCGACGAGGGTTAAGTTAGGGCAGGAGGGGTGTCCCCATGCAGACTGTCTTCAACCCCTGCCGCCTCCAGCCTTGGTGTCTATCATATCCCTTTCCCAAGTGAAGGTGCTGGCCCATGGCCTCAGGTCCAGGTGCTCTTCAGAGGAGCCCCGTAACAATTTGGGACTCTTTGGCAGCAGACAGCACACTACCTTTGGGTTTTCTAAATTGCTTGAGACTTGAGAGCCAGGCTCTGGCTTTCCCTGAGGACCACGAAACTCTCCAGTCCCTGGTGTCCCCTCCTTTCTGTTGCAAAGAGCATGGAATCAGGCACTCCTCCTTTGGGGGCCATGGGAAAGGTGCCACTCTCAGAGGCTGCGATGCGTGACTTCAGCACTCTGGCCAAAGTGTCTAGAATGGGCCCTGTTGTTCTCGGCAGATCAGGCCTGGGTCAGGCAGGGGGCCTGTTGAGAGGACACCACAGCATTGATTCTGGGAGCATTGCTTCATCCCTCCCCAGCCTCCCGAGCACACCTGTGTGGGAGGGACCAGGCAGAGGGCACAGGGCTCCTTTCAGACCCCTCCTGCCTGCCCCAGCTCACTGAGCTCACACAAAGAGCTTCACTTTGAACTGAAAGGTCAGGAGTGATCGGATTTGTTGCTGAACTGGTTTGAAGGGAGGACCCTGTGTCAAGTGAGAGAGATTTTGGCCCCTTTTGCAGTGCAGGAGAATATCTGTTTGTTTCTGGGCACGACTACAGTCATATTCAGGGGAGGGAGGGGAAGATGGCATAGAAGCTGGAGCTGGCCACTCCCAAAGCCCAGTCTAAGCTTTCTGTGTGTGCCACACAGGACTTGAACACAAAGACATTTCTCCAAATGGCATTATATTTTGAAAGGGAAATCTCACATCTTATTTTAAAAGTTCCCGTCTTGAGGTTTATCTACATAGATTTCCATATTCACCTTATGTATGAGTAAAAGAAGAAGAAATGAAAAAAAAAAAAAAAAATGGAGAAAGTAAGACAGAAGTTCAAATTCTCTCTCACATAAAAATAAATCCATCATCCAGGACAATGTTGGTTCTATACAGGGTCAGGACCTAGGTTCTTTCTTTCTATTTGCTTTGCGTGGCTCCCACTACATGGCCCAAGATAGCTGCTGAAGATCCAGCCATCGTGTCCACATTCCAGCCAACAGGAAGGAGGGAGGAGAGCGGAAAGTCTTCCTGCCCTTTCCTTAAGGGCATTTTTGGAAATTCACACTCTATATATTCTGCTGTACTGGCCAGAACTTAATTCCAAGGTCATGTCTAATGCAAGGGAGACTGAGAAACATAGTTTTTATTCAAGGCAGCCATGTGCCCAGATAAAAAACGTGGGGTTCTGTTACTGAGAAAGGAGGAGAAAATGGATACTGGGGGACAATTAGCTATCTTTGCCCTACCTTCCTCTTGGACAGGTTATATGAAGAGGGTTTATAATATGTAGGCATCTATATTTGGGCTTTCAATATTATTATCCAAAACCAGTTTTAGAAGCATAGATTGATAACATAAAGGTTAGAAATCAGCCAGTCCACAACCTCATTTTAAAGATTAGGAAACTGAGATCCAGAGAAGTTAAACAAATTAGCTGAGATTACACAGCACTTTGGTGGCATCTAATCCCTAGCTCATGTTTAGTGGGTGCATTTTGTTCTTCTCTGGTTTTTAACTTAAGAAAAAAGCTTCATTCTGGAGAGGAGGGAGCTTGGGCTCCAGGGATGAAATTTCATCCGTCACTTGGTCTCTGAGCTGCAGGACGATGGTAGGGTTTGCGTGTCCTGATCTGCCCAGCCTTGAGTGTTGGTGGCTGAGGAAGCCGCTAGTGAGGACGCTGAACCGGGCCATCTGGAGTGTGCCCCGTCCCCTGCCTCTGTGTGTGTATGTGGCTCTATCTGTCTCCATGTCTACTGTGCAAACTGACTCGAGCCCACCAAGGCTGAATGGCTGACTCTGGTGTGCTTTTGTTTCAGGGAGCACTCCGCCAGGATGGCAGCTGCCAGGAGGCATGACTTCTTCTTCAAGACCTTGCTGACATTCAGCTGGCTCATCCTAGCCCTCTTCCCTTGGGCTGCATCCACAGGTGAGCCACTGCCAAGCAGTTGGACCTCCACATCTCAGCGAGGAAGGCACAGCCCTTCACTGAAGCAAGGCTGCAGGAGGCAGGGGTCAGGGGAGGGAGCCATGGGGTAGGGTCAGGGGGGCAGGGTACTGGCCTGTGCTTACTAAACTCCTTGATCCCAGGCAAGTCTCATCCTGGGCTTCAGTTTCATCATCCATAAAATGAAAGGGTTGGACTAGAATCTGGGCTTGCAAACTCAGTGTCTACAGGAGCCAGGCATCTGACATAGAAGAATGAAGCTGATCAGATAGTGACTGGGGTCTCCTGGGGAGTGGAGTCCCTTCTACAGGGACATTTACTTCTCAGTTCTGGCCAATTGCTGCCATGTGGGAACGTGGGTGCCCTGTTGCAGGATCTTCTGAATTTTTTTTTTTTTTTTTGTCTTTTTGTCTTTTTTTTCCGTGTCCGGCAACGGATCGCAACCCTCCGTGTTGCCCCCGCACCGGACCGGGGACCGGCAACGGGATCGCAACCCTCGGCGTTGCTCCCGCGCCTCGCTCAGCCAGTGAGCGGGAACCGGTCTGTATGTGGGATCCGAACCCTTGGGCGGGAGCGCCGCCGCGCTTCCCAAGCAGCGCACTGTAGCAGTGCACCACCGGGCCGGCCCAGGATCTTCTGAATTTTTTTTTTTTTTTGTCTTTTTGTCTTTTTTTTCCGTGTCCGGCAACGGATCGCAACCCTCCGTGTTGCCCCCGCACCGGACCGGGGACCGGCAACGGGATCGCAACCCTCGGCGTTGCTCCCGCGCCTCGCTCAGCCAGTGAGCGGGAACCGGTCTGTATGTGGGATCCGAACCCTTGGGCGGGAGCGCCGCCGCGCTTCCCAAGCAGCGCACTGTAGCAGTGCACCACCGGGCCGGCCCAGGATCTTCTGAATTTTTAAGAGAAGTCAGAAATCTATATTTTTATGTAAAAGCTTCCTAGTTTTTAGATGTTAGTAACTAATTCAAATGATAAAAACTACTCTTGGAGCCAGGAAAAACAAAACTACCAAATCTGAGAGCCAAATTCACACCTCTGGGCCACCTGGTCTCAACGTTCCTGCTTCGGTGTCATCAGATCTGGGTACATTAAAGCACTTTTTAGCTTAGATCTATTTTTCTATCTTGATGTCAACTTTTTCTTTAAGTGATTTTGATTTAACATCCAGAAGCACAAAGCAAGTTTGCTTAGGGCATGGGAAACAGCAATCAAATTAGGATAGAAGATGGGAGAGATAGGGAACAATCTTTAAATTTTGAGCAGGAGTTTAATAATACTAGCATCACCTCTGATAGCTCTTTTGTTTCATACGATCACTATTCACTGAGTTTGATGCTTTTCTACAATAAGAGCCCCAAGTCGTCATGCGGCTCCTCTGAAGGGCTCCAAAGAGCTTTTCTGCAGTAAGGAATAAAGGACCTTATATCTTTGGCCGCAGACTGCAAACTACCTTTGGTTTTTCTAAGCTACTTGAGACTCGAGAGCAGGGCTCTGGCTTTTCCCAAGGACCGAAATCCTCCTGTCCCTGGTGTCCCCTTCCCTGGTCTGTGCTTTTCTCTGACATCAGAGAGATGAGAAGCCAACCCTTGCCCTTCGTGCTCCAAGTGGGTTGAGTGCCTTCCCTCTCAACCCTGCATCGTGCGGCCCTTCCTGGGCAAGTAAGGGTGATTGCCATGGTGACATTTCAGCCACTCACTGATCCACACAAATGAAAAATCCACTGACACTGGCTTCCCTGAGAGCAAAACGCCCACCTCCAATGAAAGAGCGTCCACCTGAAGCCAATCTTGTAACTGCTGTGCTTTAGCTATGGACTCAGAGCTTCTGGACAGCTGGGATTCGTGTTCCTGATGTCAGGAGAGCCTCCAGGGTCAGACTGACCACCCCCAAATTTGGATTCAAAGTCTGATGCAAATTCGTACACTTGAGAGTAGACATGGCAGTCAGGATTATCCTGGCAGATGTGGTCTGGGAGACCTGCAGGCTTTGTCCAGTGGAGTTGGAAAGTTTCATTCCCAGCATGCTCATGCCTCCTTGCCTGGATCACTGGACTCCCCAGTTGACCACATATATTTCCCACATGCCTGGGGAGTCACCTCCAAGACAGACACTCACATCCATGCCTAGGTGGAAGGCAGCTCAGGGCCTCTGACTGGCCTCTGCTGAAAGCCAGCCAAGCACTTGACCCTGTCTGGAGACAAACCCAGGGATGGGCTCCAGAGCCCAGTCCTCAGAACCACCCTTGACTGCTCAGTACACACTGAGCCCACACCCCAACCCATCCTGGTGGCTCTCTCGTGACTCTGCTGTTACATCAAAATGGAAAGTCCACTGATGAGCAAGCCCCACATTTTTTCATCAGATTGCCACTACTGGAGCCCCTCGGGGTTTACAGAAGCTGGAAGGGCTGCTTCGGTGAAACTCCAAGAAATGTGAAATTATCTTCCTAGTGAAAGAGATCCAAAGCCCGGGTTAGGGCTGACAGAGGGGCAGATGGAGCCTAGCAGAGGGTTGTCGTGTGGCTGGGGAGGAGAGGATGGGGAATGAGGCTCCGCAAACACCCACTGAGTGCCTGCACCAGACTTTGCAGAGAAGTGTCGCTGCCTTCAGATGGGTGAAAAGGACAACTCAGTGGTGGCTTAGGGGTCCATATCTGTGCTGTGAAGTGTAGATAAAGGGGCAACTCCCTTCTGGTTCTCCCTGAGATGTATAAATATGGGACAGACACTCCTACTCCAGAGATAAATGAGTGAACATCAAGTAACATTTAGAACCGACGTGCTAGTAATTACAGTGAAGCCAGAATCTCTCCGGGGACCCAGTCCCATGCTGTGGTTGAGGTGTGTGGAATCCACTTTGCTCAAGAGACTCAGCCTCTCTCAGGCTCCCTTCCTCTGGGTCTGAGCGTGGAGCTGGCCTCCAGTCCTTCCAGTCCCTACCCCAGGGCCTTTGCCATCTGCAATCTTACCCTGCCATGGGCTTACCCCCTCCCTACTCCCACCCCAGGTGATTTTGAAATCTACAGTTTCATACTTCGTAACCTTCTAGTCACATATAAAAGGAGGGCACTGGGGCTTGTTCTCTGAGCCAAGCCATTCTCATCTGGCCTCGCCCATGGCCTCTTCTCACCTCTTTCCCTCTGGGTTCTTCCTTGCTGTCCACAGAGATTCTTCCAGTTTCTGAGGCTGTGACAGTCCTCTTCCCTCCACCCCGCCGTGATGCGCTGCTGGATAGAGCCGGGTTAGCCACAGGGAAACAGATGCCTCCCTGTGCTTGTGCTGAGGTCAGGGACAAGTGCCTCACAACACCCACCCTGGGACCTTTCTAGGTTCAGTGAAACATTCAGACACACGAGGCAGCCATACACCGTGCTTGGCGTCAGTCTCACTTGGAAGACATAGGACGGGAAACCCGGACTGCCATCAGAGCAGCGTCAGGTGTTTCTCTTCCACGGGAGTAGTCCTGGCAGCACTCGTCACAGCCATCCAGAGGTTATTCTCTTTAGTTCCCCAGGTGACAGCTCAGGTGAGAGGAAGTAAGACTGTCATTGGACAAGTGTGGGGACGGCTCTGGCTTAGAAGCCTCATGCCCCACTGAAGTCAGTATCTCTTACAGAAACCCCATAGATGTAATTTTCCGGGTTCCCGCAAAATGACATCTCCACCAGGTAGAAATATAAACTATAATTCCTTCCAGTTTAGATGCCATATACCTATCAGGGGTCACTTTTGTTATAAGAAATGTTGCTAAGTAACATAGTTTACATAACGCTGTCTTTCCCCAGTTTCCAGGGGAACAGAGCTAGAAAATTAACCAAAAGCCAAATTCTCATGCAGATGGAGAAAGAGTTTTGTAAATTTTTCAAACACTGTTTTCTAGAAGATAGAATGTCTTGGGGCTCAAATAACCTGAGTAAACCACTACATAGCTTCGATTCTTAGAATGTCCTGACTAGTCATCTGGTCTACCCTTCATTTTATAAATGGTGTGAAAGACATGGGACTGGACCCCAGGGTTCCCTCAGGGTTTAGGGGGTCTCTCTGTTCTCTAAGGTTGTGCTTTTAGCTCTAATAGAGAGGAGGCAGGGGCCTTGCCTTGTGCCACAGCCCCCCTTGTGGTCCGTGGCAATTCTTGCTTGGTGAGGCTGGTAGATGGGAGCAGTGACATTTCTCTGTCTTTGACAGTGGCCACTGGGTGCCCTGACCAGAACCCTGAGCTGCAGCCCTGGAACCCTGGCCATGACCAAGACCACCATGTGTACATCAGCCAGGGCAGGACACTGCTGCTCACCTCTTCTGCCACAGTCCACTCCATCCACATCTCAGAGGGAGGTAAGCCAATCTCCACCCCATACCTCCTCCTCCCTCCACCAGACAGAGCCTGGCAGACGGGTTGCAGGCTGCCATGACTTTAGACGGGCAGAACACATGTCACATACTGTCAGTTCAAGTCAGAGCATCTGGTCGTTGGAGACAGCCGTCGACTCCCAGCCCTTAGGAATGGCTTGGCAGAGCTTGTCCAATCTTACTGAAGGGAGCGTTTGTAGAGGAAGCTCCTTACTGGTGCTGTAAGCAGTTCTGCTTATCTTACCTTCCGATGCTTGGTCACTGAGTGCCGTGCATTCAGTGATGGCAGTAAACCGGACGGGCATTATTTCCACATTGCAAAGCGGAAAGAAGAGGAAAGGAACTACTTGTGAGCACGAGGAGCATAGAAGTGTTTGGAAGACATGCCTTTGTGCCTGCCTGGTTGAGATGCGGAGCTTACAGCGTGCGCCCCTGGTTTTGCTATAACCTTGTCCTTAACACTCATGTTCTTAAACCTCACCCCATTTCTACCTCTTCAGGCAAACTAGTCATTAAAGACCACAATGAGCCAATTGTTTTGCGAACCCGGCACA